TGGGGGAGGGTGGCAAAACCCTCCCACGCCTAGAATTCTTACTACTGACACCAATAAAAGCATTTTGCATTTCAAAAATCTCCTTTAACTATAGCAGTGGAGGCCAGTGATGGCCAGCCCCAGGGCCCGCCTCTGATGGAGCAGGGCTAGGGTGCAACCAAAAGTCTGCCTTTCTAGCAAGTCCCCGGTGATGCTGAGAGCCTGGGAGTGGGGGAGGGAGTGGGGGGGACACTCTGAGAACCACGGAGTCAGGGGAACCACTTGGCTCAGGCTGATCAGATTCTCCCGGGCACCGTGAGCTTTTCACTCCCCGAGAACGTGGGTCCAGCTACGTGTTCCCTTCTTATCCTCCTCCTCCTCTGATATCTGCAAGTCTGCGCAAACTCTACGTCCCACTCCAGTAAAGAGCTGCACATTTTGGAAAAGATTTTACAACTCCTTCTCATTAACGTGGAAATGACTAATGATGCCTTATCTCCCCCGAAGCACCTGTTCTATATCCAAGAGCAAAGCCTTAAGACAAAGAAAGAAACTTTCACGATGGCGTTTCAGATATCTAAGCACTGAGTGCTTTAAGATGACCAAGGAAGCCTTCTGTGTACCACTCCCCAAAAGATCACATTTTACTTTATTGTTTTGCACTTGCTTTATCTGAGTCCCAAAAGGCAGTATGTCTTTGCCAACGTCTTATTCTGAAGCCCACCATGATGCCAGGCAAACTGTTAGGTGCTCACTAAATGTGTGTCGCATGAGTAAATGGCAGTGAGTGCCCTGGCAGGAGGAGACAGGCCTGTCCTCTGCCTGGAGCAGATCGGAAGCCAAGATCTTCCAAACTACTTATCGTGACTCATCACAATCAAGAAACACTAACTCAGCACCTACTGCATGCAGAACTCTGGCTGGATCATCGGTCAAAGGCAGCTCCCCAAATTGACCTGTCCACTAGTCAATCAACTGCGGTTTCATTCACTCACTCATTCATTCACACAAGTCAGTGTGCTAACCCTGACTCCAAAATGGAGATGACACACCCTTGGCCACTTAAGATCTCAGGGTAGCAATTAGGGCCCCCCATGCAGGAGCATCAGAGCAGAGAAGAGAGGGAAAGCTCCGGTCTTCTAGAAAAAAATTCATGGCTCAGAGCTGGCAAGTTGGGATGAATCAGCAAGTCTCCCAAGGTTTTGGAGGAAGAAAAGATTCAGAGTAGTTGATAGGGATTCTCCTCCTGGACCCTTCCTCTAGGGCCTGGCCACACCACTCACAACTTTCCTGTGTCTTTGGGGCCTCTCAAGCTTTAAGGAAAGGGAGTCTTTGTGCCCATTTCATGGATGAAGAAACTGAGGTCCAGGGGCCTCCAGCGACTGCAATCTCCAGTCCCCAAGCCACATCCTCTCCCTCCTGGACCCCAAGTCTGCACAGCTGTCCCCCATCTTTCCCTGGTCTTATTTCAGGGGTGATTACATGTTGTCATTAATAACATCATTCTACCGCTAACATGTGTTGTACACCTGCTCTTTGCCAGGCTCAGCACAAACACTGTGCAAACATTAATTCTTAAAATCCTCGCAATTTCTTTATCATCCCCATTTTACAGGTGAGGAAGTTGAGGCCCAGAGAGCTACATGGCACAACCACAGAGTGCTAGAATGAGGATCTGAATTCAAGAGATCTATTGTCAGTGCCCAAACTCTTAGTCACCACACTACACGTCCTTAACATACCTGAGAGAGAGAATGGAGGCTCAGAGAGGTTAAGCATCTTACTTGAAGTCACACAGCTAGCAAGCACTGCAGTTGGAATTCCAACTCAGGTCTGCTTGCTCCCAGAGTCCCACAGTGCAGGCTCCGGAGGATCAAATAGTTGGCTAAGGTGGGGAGAGGAGAGGGGGCTCATTGGGCAGTGCCTCCTTCACTATCCCAGCACAGCAACAATCCCCATCCTGGGTGGCAGCTGAATAATTTAAGCTCCTCGCCTCCAGCCCACCACTACTGGGTCCCAGATTTATTTTTATCCCAGGTTACAGCCACAGTGCTTAACAGAAATAAACCACACTGTTTGCTTCTCATCGCCTTCACATCAACTCCTGATTTGTCAGCATTTACAATAAAGAGGAGAAGACAGGTCCGTATGTCGTGGTGGTTTTTATTAGAAAGTCACAAATTCTATGAGGGAGGGAAGAAGGAGGGATGGAGAGAGGGGGAGAGAAAGGGAAGAGAGAGCGGCCTTGAACAGGCAGGCAGGGTCAGTCCGAAGGGGGAACGACAGAGCAAGCTGGGGAGACTGACTTTCCAGCCCCCCTTCTAGAACTGCAGAATCTCTGGCCTCTGCGGCCCTCCCTCCAGCGAGAAAGGAAATGCCCGTGTGTGTCTCCGTGGCTCTGCTTCCCAATCACCAGCATGGGGTGGAGAAGTACCTGCTGAATGTCCTCCCAAAAACCCCCCAGGAGCCCACACTGGGTGGGGCTAGTGGGGGTTGCTGCCACCAGGAGTGTGGGAATGACTCCTTGCTCTTCACGACGATGGGTTCATACGGTGTGCGGTGACTTGCTGTGTGGTCTTGGGCAAGTTGCTTTCCCTCTCTGAGCCTCCCAAGGGGTTAGACTAGGTCAGAGTTTCTGAATTTGAGGTGTTAGGTTGGGCATTAGGGAGGGTCTGTGAGTCCCCTGATGTGGTGTGTTTGAAGGCATCTTATCAGTGTGAAGAGTCTCAAAGGGGTTTTGCTGCACCCCTGGGAGAAGTCTGTAGGGTCTTTGAGGGCTGCAGAATTTGTGCATCTATGCATCCAAATAGACCAGATCCCTCTCCAGCTGATGACAGGATTCTAAGAACCTAGTGAAGTTCTCACAAGAGACCCCTCCCCCCACATCCTGATTTACTCCCAGCAGGGCTTCCTAAACACATAATAAATTTCCCAGATTAGTGCAAATCTGTGTACCTTATTTTGGGGTACAGGCACACACACTATCACACAGTCACAGAACCTCAGAGCTGGAAGGGGTCTTGGGGTCATCTAGACCAACTGTTTCATTACACTGATGGGGAAACTGAGGCCCCCCAAAGAGGAGGTAGAGCTGGGGTTGGCAACCAGGTCTCCTGATCCAAGTCCAAGACTCTTTCCAGAAGCTTCTGCTTCCCTCTCCCTGGTGCACCACAATGCACCATTTCAGATGTGATGGGGGAGGAGGGAGGGCAGTCTCTTGGATCTTAGCCACTCCCAAGGAAGTAAGCTGGGAGGCAGCAAGGAGATGTTTAAAAAGCACCCACAAGTGGACAGCCCAGAACCATCTACCTCAGCTGGCTTGGTAGATGTTTAAAATCGGAACAATCCCCTGTACCAGGGGATGCAGAACTGAGGCCCCCGTGGCTTCCTTGATCATACCCCAGTCTGCCCCGAAGAAGCTCCCCATCATCAAGCAATTCAAGGGTTAACACTCCATACAGCAGGGGACCCCTAAGCTCCCCCCACCAGCACCCCAGCCACAGTCCAGTCTGAATAGTTGGCGCCAAAGTTCGGTATTTTAAATATCACCCAGGACCAGATCTGTGGGTCCTTCGTTGAACTAAATTTCCTCACATTCATCATTCACACTTGAGGCTGCCCAGGGAGCCAACTAAGAGATCTTTCTGCTCAAGGTCATGCAGCAAGGGAAGGCTGAGATCGCGAGGACCCAATCCTTGGCACAAACTAGGGAGCAACCCTCCCCCTTGCCTCACATGTCCTGTGTGAGCAGGCACATGGCCCCGGATCTCAGCATCCCCCCTCAGCTCCCGGGCTGGCGATGACTGAGTGGGCCCTGCTTACATTTCAGGCTTGCCAGTCTCTGAGGCTGATGTTTTATTCCTCCCACCTCCAAGAATGAGAACCTAAAGAGGAAATCCTTGGGGGTGCAGAAGCCTGAAGTGGCCCCTGAGATAATAGCAAAGATGCTAAAAATAAGGATCTTCATTTCCAGCAAGGTAGATGTCATCAAGGCAGACGGCAAAGAGAAATCCCCTCTTGTTGGGTCACAGATTAGCAGCAAAGACATTTTAAAATTAAATGTGAGTTTTAGGATTCAGTTACAAGGGACCTCTGCTTCCCACTCACTAACAGGTTGGTGCAGCCTCACCCCAGCAGGATCTCAGATAGAGAAACTAGTGCAGGGGTGCAGTCTGCCCTGGAACAGATCTGAAGCTGGAGCCTGGCACCCCTCCCTAGAATCTGAACCAACCTTATCCCCTTATTTCCCTCTGTTGACACAGGCTCAAGGTTGGGGTATCTGGGGTGGGTGCCAGGACACACTGCCTCCAATCATTTACAGGTTATACCACCTGTGAAAATAAAACATCTCTGCTCAGCGGGCCGCTGGCTGCTTCCCTCTGGCCTCCCCAACCACCCATTCTAAGCAAATCATGATCCTTTCATGGCTCCTGGGTATCTCATCACAGTAAGCTAGAGCAACCAATCATGCAAAACCCACTACAATTAAATTACTCAGCTCTCCCTGGAAGATGGCACAATCTCAGCCCTGTCCTATGCAAGCCTCACCTGCTGTACCCGAGTGGCCCCTATGCAAGGATTAACCTTCCAGTCTCCGGTGACCCTCTCCCATCCAAGGCTAAGGTGCCCAGGCTCTAGATCAGAGTGCCCATGACCCTCCAGGCTGGTCCACCCCACGAAGGGTTAAGTCACTCAGAGAACTGCCAGTTACTTTCAACAGCTTCTCTGCAAGGAAGAGGGCAAATTGGGCAGAAGCCACAATTTTGATCTCAGTGCCTAAAACATAAGCATGTTTTACCAGCCCCCCCCCCCTTGGGCACCAAGCCGAAATCTCATTTGGCTTTGGGGGTGCCACTTAGACAATCAAACACTGCAGAATGTGGGCAAATAAATGTGATCGTTCCTCAGCACCCCTCCCCTCCTACCTACCGCCATCCCATCAGCTCATGTACACACTTCATTGCAACTAGGATCCCAATGACCCTCACCCGTTTGCACAATTAAAAGAGAATATCACTTACCACAACACTGGAGGATTGCAGGGGGGAATGGGCGAGCCAAATTCCTGCCAACTCCTCCCTTCCCTGCTGGGTGGGAAGATGCTAACTCCCGATGACTTGGTTTGAAAGCTCCACGGAGGTGCCTGGAAGAAAATTGTTCATTTGACTCTCCTACTCTTCCCAAAATAAAATCAAAATGACAATGCACACACAGACACACGCGCGCGCACACACACACACACGCACGCATGCACCAACTACCCCTAAATCAGGCAGGACCAAGACGAAAAGAAATACCACTGCCAGAAGAGGAGAAAAACTCAGACCAGTCAGTAGCCAAGGCAAAGGCTGTGGTTCCCTCAGACTGCACTCCACATGGATGAAGGTTTTCCTTCTGTAAGCCTCTCTCTCTCTCTCTCTCTCTCTCTCTCTCTCTCTCTCTCTCTCTCTCTCTCTCTCTCTCTCTCTCTCTCCCCTCTCCCTCTTTCTGCCGTCCACGTAGGCAACTCCAGACTGCTGGCAGGAGACGAATCAATTGCTTCCCCAGTGCCCGAATCAGCAGCGACTGCCACCACTGCTGCAAAGCCCTGTGCGAGCAAGGGGGGGGAGGGGGCGAGCTTCCAGCGCAGGGGAAAGCAAGCCGGCCTCCCACCCGTGATTTATGTGAGAGATGCCTGGAGAAAGGGAGGTGGGGGGCCGGGAGAGAGATGGGGCGCACCAGAGATCCCAGCTGGTCGGAAAGGCAATCAGGAAACTGGCGATCAGCACCGCGGACAGCGCTAAAATGCAGAGGAGGCGGGGCCGGCGGGAAGCGAGGCCTCCGGCAGAGAAGTTAAGTTATTGGACAAGTAGGGGGAGTCCAGGGGAGGAGGGACGGGACTTGTCGACAGCACACAGTGAAGTCAGCGACAGCCCACCTGCCACACGCCCGTTCTAATATCGTCGCTCACTCCCAGAGCGAGGAAGCTGCAACTTCGCACCCCGGTGCCCCCCCCCCAGACCTTCACTGTTTATCTCTGCTCAGAAGAGTTTGACCCCAGTGTGAAAGTTTGCAAGTGTTACTCCCCCCCACCCCAAAGCAGTCCATTAGCTGCCCTCACCTCCACCGCTGCGGATTTCTGCCCTGTACCTCTCTCTGTGCCTCCGAGGCAGGCTTAGGAAATGGGAATTTCTAAGGGGCAGGATGACTTAGTTTAATAAACTTGCGAGATTTCTGGGAACCAGATTCAGCCCCCATACAACCTTGGAAAAGTCTCTGAGTGCCATCTGTAAAATGAGGATATGAATACCCAATTGTCCTCAAGATAGGAGGCAAGATGTTAACAGTAAGAAAAAAGTAATAATAAGAGTATGCAATTTTTGGTCTGCTCCGGCCCCATGATCCATAACCTGTCCTATGAAGCCAGTTGGTAGCTAACTGGGGTGGTGGTTTGAACAGGATAAAGTTGGGGGTTTCAGGAGGTCTAAACCCAACAAACGTGCCTTGATTAAGACCCATTCTTAAAAGGCCCAAACTGGCCTTCTGAAGTGAAATCATGTTACAGACAAGAAAACAGAATTACTAAAATGAGAAATATACAAAAGGAATTGATACCCATAATTTCCCGTGTTCTAGATGTTAAGGTTTTTTTTAAGTGTGGAGAAAAGATAGCAAGTCTCAAACAGAACAAGGTCTGTTAATAATTTCCCTGCAAAATGATGGTGAAGCTCTCTAAAGGCTGGACTCAGCTGGTCCCTGGTGAGATACCATATTTGTCATATAATTCTCCTTTTGAAATGTAGGACTTAAAATGTCAGAATCTTAGAGACATTTAGACCTTCCTTTCATATACGGTGATCACAGTAATCATGATTATTGTGGTCTTGATAGTGATAGCGGTGATGATGGTGGTGATGGTGATGGTGGTGGTGATGACAGCTCTCATTTACTGAGAACTTACTATATGCCAAACATTTTGCTGGAAACTTTACATGTATCATTTCCTTGAATCCTCACCGTGACCCTTTGGGGGGACTATTACCCCATTTTACAGATGGGTAAACTTTCAGTTACATAGCAAATGGCAGATACAGGATTCAAACCCAGGGTTGTATGATTATGAGCCCATGCTTTAGAGGGTCTCTCTCTTAGGTTCAAGTTCAAATATATTCCCCAATTTTTTCTGGCAGAATCTTGTTGAATCCTTTCTGGGAAGACCATATGATGAACCCAGTCCTCTCGCTTTACACATGGAGAAACTAAGCACCAAAGGGGACAACGATTTTTCCAAAGCTAAAGGGTAGGAAATGGCAGCGTTGAGTCTGGAACTCAGTCTTTTAGATGCCAGGGCCAGCGCTCTAGTGTTCTAGCCTTGAACAGTGTCAAGCACATAGAAGGTCCTCAATAAACATTTGAAGAGTGGTCAAGAGGCACAATCTGCTAGTAGCAGAATCAGTAGTTCCCAGGCTTTGTGGCTCCCAGCCTGAAGGAATGCCCACCCCACCCCACAGCTTCCCTGGCCATCAGGCCCATGTTTTAGAGGGTCTGTCACAAATCCTGATCTCCCTGAGGGGATGAAAAAGCTGTCATCTGCTAAAGGCTTAGACGCCCATTGTGCATCCGGCACTGCACTAAACCCCCACATTTACCATCTCCAGTCTTCACGGCTTCATGAGATGAGTGCTCCTATTGTCCTATTTTCAGATGAGAAGACTGAGGTGCAGGTAAATAAAGCAAAGCTGCAAAGCTCGCACAGGGAGGGGGAAGCAGGGATGCAAACCCAGGTCTGTCTGACTACAAGGCCTGTGCATCGTCCCCTCCCCGCCCCCGTTAGCTTGTGCTCAAACACGATCCCCAAAGGGGAGTGGGCGTGAAAAGGAGGCCTGACTTGCCCCCACACACCCTGGTTTCAACCAGAGCAGTTGTGCTTTTCACTGTTTTGCATACTGGGCATCTGCTCAAGCTTTCATTGAAACAGGGCTTTGCAGCAAAATTTTAAAATGACAACATGTTGGAGATCAGAGCTCTGCAGCTTCTCTGATGACCACACCACCCAGGAGCCAGCCCTGCCTTCTCAGGAGGCTCTACACCAACCCCCTACCCCCCCCAACCCCCTACCTCCTCACCCCCCCCCCACATCCCTGGTCACACCTCCACGCCCCTCTTCTGTCCTGAAAGTTCCTGGAGAACTCTTCCTTCAAAGAACCAACCGCACCGTCAGCTCTGCAGCAGGGAGCCGCCTGCAAACCAGACAGCTCAGGGCTGAGCCCAGCCAGTTCTGTCCTCCCAGAGAGGGAGCGCGGCCACGGGATTTCTCCAGGTCCCGGATTCAGCAACTGCTCTGGCCCCTCCTTATTCTGTTGAGGCCAGAAGCAAACCCTTAAGACTCCTCATCGCCCCACCGCCCCCCCCCCCGGAGACAGGCAACGATGGAGTGATAGGATAACAATAAAAGCTGCATCCTTTGTCCTGGGTGGATCATATCCATCCTGTTAGGATTTCATCCTCACAGTAACCCTGTGTGTCCAGCTGGTAAGGGTTTTCATCCGCTGGACACATGAGAAAACTAAGCGCCGGGAGCCCAACTATGCTGAGGAGATTTAGTTCATCAATTGTGGGTTTGGGATTTGCACTAAGGTCTCTGGAGTCTGTAACTGTTATGCTGTATGGCACCCAGTATTATCCGCATCTCTCCCAGTTATCTGTGGGTGCTTATAAGTCACCGGGTGACATGTTTCATGGCCTGGCATTGTTCACGACTCCGGCGCAGTGGCGTTGTGTTACTTCATGAAACACATCCTGGACATGGGAAAACGAGACACACGGCGGTCAGATGATGTGCCCAGGGTAGCACAGCTAAGAAGGACGGGGCAGGACGTGAATCCAAACCAGCTTGTCTCAGGCTCACTGTGTTCCACTGTCCCCCAGGGGAGGGGCACTCAGATAGCCCAGAAAGAATGTTCCCATTTCACCCGGTAGCTGGGGCAGAATAATGCGTCTCAAGACATCCAAGCCCTAAGCCCCCAAAGTGGTGAATCTGGACTTTATATATGTGATTAAGCGAAGGCGCCTGAGATGAGGCGATTACCCAGAGTTACTTGGTGGTTCCAGTATTAACACAAAGGTCTTTCTAAGGAAAGAGAGAGAGAGAAAAAAAGCGAGGGAGGGAGGGAGCGAGGCCATGATTTTGGTTTTAAAGACGGAGAAAGGGTCACAAACCAAGGAAGGGGGCAGCCTCTGGACGCTACAAAAAAGAAGCGAATTCTCCAGCAGAACCTCCAGAAGAAGCACAACCTTACTGTCCCGAGCTTCTGGCCTCTAGAACTGCAATATAATAACTGCGTTGTTTTATGCCACTGAAGTCGCTGTTGTCTGGTACAGCAGCAAAGGAAACTGGCACCGCAAGTCTGCCACAGGGACCGGCCACCAGAATCCCACAGCCAATCAGCCTTAGGAATCGCCTGAGCGCTCTGTTGGCCAAAGTACCCAAAGCCTCCCATAGCCTGATCTAAACAACACTGCATGTGTGTGTGCGCGCGTGTGTGGCGTGTGTGCATCTGCTCTCACACACTTGCACCCAGAGAAAAGACACCGGCCCCAGCTTCAGCCAGACAACCAGGCCCTGCGGCTGGACGGCTGCTAGGGCTCTGCGTGATGGATTCGCTCCCTCCTCCTCCTCCTCCAAGAGCCTCCAGGGAAACGCTATCATCAAGAACACAAAAGGGAAGAAATGTCACAGGGCAGCTTTCCAGGAGCCCAACTCATCACAGGGCATCAGTCAAACACAAAGCAAGTAAACTGGAGCAGAGAGACAGGAGCACAAGAAAGAGAGACATAGACCGAGAAAGCAGGACAGAGAATGATTGCTGGGTCCCCAAGATTGGCCTTTGTGCCCCAGTCGATCCATTCCCACCAGGGAAGCGGCAAGTCTTGGGATGCCTGTGAGCCACCTTAGAAGAAAATCGAGTAATTCCAGAGAAGACGCAGCAGGACTTGGTGAGACAAGCTTTTAAGACAAGTCAAGGAGTGTTATTTATTCATCCGTCAATTTGATGTTGCCCGGCAAGGTGCCAGGGCAAAGAAATTTGGACTTGGCTTCTGGGGCTCTGAGACTGAGTCTTGACTCCCCACCCACCAGCTGTGTGACCTTGGACATGTCACTTG